CTCTCAGTACATAATATTATACTTCAAGAATGCTCAAGTGCTTCCGGCAAAGAAATTGATTTCTAGAAGCCATTTCGTATCTAGACTTTGCACACGTGTGTAGTTATGCGCTTTTATGAGTATCTTCATTCACATTTTACAGCAACTACATTTTGATTAAAACCCCCGTGTGCAGGAGCGAGGTGTTACATTGATGTCTAATAAATGCAACAATGGTCTGGACATTTGTATCATTGCTGGAGAATTAGTCTGAAGATCTATAGATGGCGTGGGCTGGTGCAATGGCTGTTAGAGTTCTTAAACACTTCATATGACTTTTTTGTCTCATGCTTCAGTTATAGTACGAACAGTCAGCGACGCAAAATCGTGAACTAAATCATCTGATATGGCCTATCTCATGAGAGCGCAATGTATATGAACACTCACCACCGCTTTTACCGTTCGTTTCTACAGACTGTACGATAGGATATCCCCGAAAATTGGATTGCTCGCTTACAACGCATGGTTGACAGCCTCAATATTTTGTAGTAATTAAAAAATAAACTTGAATATATATGGAATATTGTTAAGCTAACTTAAAATTAAAGTCAAAATTATAACTTAAAAACTAAATGACTGAAAAATCGTGTAAACAAATTGAGCAATGCCAACCAACATTGGTGAAATGAAAACAAAAGAGAACAGAAGTAAACATGCTAAAAGGAGCTCACAAAAGCAGTACGAAACGAAGTTTCAAGGAACCACACTTAGGTAGGTAGGTAGGTTATGTTATATGATTTTTAAAAATTTTATATTATGAATGCACGTATTTAGGGATGTGCATGCGTGATACAGGTGTACTCGGGAACCAAAGAGTTTAATGCATATATCTTCCAAACCAATAAAGTTATATCACCCAAATATACACAGACCTAATTTTTTCAACCCTTCTTACGATAGTGTAAAAATAGCTTTATAGAAACCGGTGCCAAAATTGAGCGATGGGCGTGGCATCGCAAACTTTTAGGTGAAATCACATATCTGGGGGCCTGCTCAACCTTTCAACCAAATTCAGTAACTTCTCAATCACAATCCCTTTTATCCATTTACTTAAATGGTAATTATGTTTTCAATAGATAAATGTACTTATTTGAAAATATTTTCTCGCAACATTATTCTATTAATTTCACTATAAACTAATAAATTAAGTCTACAAGTATTTCACGAATTACCAAATATACTAATATTATATATAACTATCCAATAGTTATGGTGGTTTGATGTTTAGTTTAGCTATTGTTGAAAGAAATAATCGTTTGAACTGAATAAACTCAATGTTACGTCATGACGGCGCAATCAATGAACTTGACATAAAAAAACAAAATTTCTGTTAATTCAAAGATTTGCAACAATAACAACGTACTCGGTAATTATAGGCACACTTCTGATCTAGTAACTTTCATATATTATAGCTATTGATTGCTACAACCAACGTGGACGAAATTTGCTCCAGTCATTGAAACTAAAGACATTTTCGGAAATCAGCAATCACAATTACCTAAACTGTCTACAAATTATAGTCTACCAGAGCCAAGCCACTGCCACCACCATGCAATCGTCAGCAGAACGCATAAGAGCAGTTCACACTCAGAATCGGTCTCCTAGCAAGCATGACTACTTAGAGTCTATCAAGATATATGTATATACATATGTCAATAACATTTACTATCCATGTACATATAAATGTGAATGCAATAAACAAATCGCAAAGCCCTGTGTTTCACCTAGGAACTCTGGGAGAATATATTAAACAATATATACCATACGAGTATATACATATATTATATAAAGCCATCGTCCGCTGAGTACTATTTTAGACTCATTTATTTAATAGTTGTTTACAGGTGCTTAATAAAAGCAAGTTCTTATATCGTATTAAGAATGACATAACTGTATTTAATGATGGGAAAACTGCTCACTCACGATGGCTATCACATTTTGTAGGTACAATAAATGTGTGGTAAATTTTGAAGGTTTAATTAAAAATAATACTCTTTATGGAAATGGTGAATTTGTAAATTTGAGACTAATATCCTAACTGCGTATAGGAATATGCTTGCCCTATAGATGTAGTACATATCGGTCAAACTTTGGAAACTGGAAGCAGTTGCAAAGCGGGAAGCCAGTTCATTCCCGGCTACCCCTTGTGACCTGGCATCCAGAGGACAAGTACATGGTTGTGAAGTAACAGTCTATTCAGCCGTTCTATGCACTCCAAGAGCGATGTAATCTCATAAGCTGAGATTGCGTTAACTGCCGCTTCACTATCGCTGACTATGGCAATACTTTCATTGCAATAGTTGCGTTTCTTCTTCTTGAAAAATGCTCGGAAAACGTCCTATAGGTGTGTAAAGCTTGGTATGCGATTCTACGGCACCTGCAACAATGCCTTCCGACGCTTTCGAGCCGTCAGTGTGCAACTTAATTGAGCTATCTCTTAGCTGTAAGTTAAGCGTGGAGTTACTCCATTCAGTCTCACTGCCGAAGGTAACTTAAAACTTCTTTGTGCAGTTCACCCTGTCACTCAAGAAAAGAACAAGTGATAACTTTATCACTTAAGGTCTTCATTGTTTGGGACGATATTACATTCCCATTTGTCATACCCCTCTGCTGTGATTTGTATGTTTAGCTAGACCGTGCGGTCACAGCGCCTAACTTTAAGAAATAGTTGATAGTCCCTGTGTGTGTTATGATACGTACATGAATTCGTGGTCTCTAAGATTCTGAATAGATTTGAATAACTAATTAGTATATCAGTGCGATTTTAATTGCACAAACAATCGTTTTTAATCTTCCATTAAGGCAAATGATGGCAAAAAATGTAAAAGCCGTCAAGCTCTAATAAACAAAATTTGCCTACATATTTTCATACGTGTATGTATTTTGAACGCACATAAAAACCGTTCTACTTATATATAGACACACACGCGCCTACCTGTAAATTATTTTTATGCGCGGAGTTTTGGGAAATTAATATTCGTTAATAGAATTCATAAATCCCATGATTCTCAAATTCAACAAAATTTCACCTACTCACAATATCTTACGAAAATATTGCCAATTATTTATGTGTATATATATATTTATAAAAAAATACGAATAATGAACATTTCAGCAACAATTTACAGCCAATAGAACACAGATGTTCATCAATATGTCATATGGATGTGTGTGTGTGTCTTCCATGATGTTGGCTTCCAGGTTACGATTATAAACACTGTTCTATATATAGACGGCTGAGTATAAAATTTGGTTGCAATTTAATGTTTTTACTGCGATTTTCAAACATACAAATGTGTGTTTGAATGTTTGTATAGAAAACGTGTGAAATACGAAATTCTTTTGGAAATTTAGTAAACAATAAATATTGTGACGAATAGAGAATAAACACGTTCGTAAATGTTTGCACGCAGCTGTAGTGGCCCGAGCTCCTTGTATCATAAACAATTAGTCTCCAACTATATTTATTTGCAAAAACAAAAGGTGTTCGACACTCACCAGGTGATTTCAAACGTTCGAGTGACTTTCTGACATGATCAAGCGACTCGCAGGGAATTAAGAGCTGACAAAAACAAAAGCACCGCGAAATATCAAAGAAAAACCGAACAATAACTAAGTAACATTGTGACGGATTAGACTAGTGAATACATTTTGAAATATTTTAACTCTCACCGTTGTTATGAAAACGAAATTAAATTTCGTAATTAAATTTTGAAAAGATTTACAAGCACTTTTCAACAAATGTAACACCATAGATACGAGTACACATTGTTGTAAGAATACTTTATGAATATTCTAACTTGAAACCTGGATTTCATTTCCTTTTTATTAAATTTCTAAATTAATAACTAGTAATAACGTTCATATAACGGCAGTTTTACTACAGACATTTTTCAATAATTTGATAGAATTGTGAATTAAATTTGAGTATTACCTGCATTCTATCATACTCCGGTAAGAAATCGAAAGCGTAAACTCGTATGCACAAAAATTGATGTTGGTGGTGGTCGAAGAAATAAAACGTGCTAAGAGTATAATTGTCACCCATAAAGAACAAAACTCAAATATAATATAATATAATATATGGATTCACAGAACACGAATCCACAATGGACCACGCGACATCCTGATAACATTTCACATCTCACAAATTATTCAATTGCTTTAACTCAAATTTGTTCCATGACTTTGACATCATCTCAGCTCTTAACATAGTTCAAAATGGGTGTAATCGTATCTCAACCTTGTCCCATTCCAATAAAAGGTAGATTTCATCTGAGGCATGAAGACATACATACATATGTATATCGAAAAAAGTAGCACACCTTGTACTGCTGGCTTATTACTACTAATACTTGCTTATTGATATAAATACTTCAATGACCTAACCCTGTTTCGATCTGTCAGTAACAAAATAATTTTGTCATTCTTTAAGCAACACTTTGCACATGTGATTTAAGCTGACATATTAAGTAAAAATTTGAACATCTTTGTGAAACAAGATGGTAATAAAAAACACCAAAAAATTAAACACACGTGTCTCCAATAAACAGTATTGATACAAACTACAGAAAATGTTATTTTCATCTGACGGATTTTACTAGAAACGTTACATTTGTTTTATAATGGATGATATGTTAGACTCATATGTGCATGGATCAGTATTCGGTTTATTTGAATCAATTTGCAAAATATTAAAATAGTTTCCCATGTCCATCTGTCTGTCTGTCGGTTCTTAAAATATCGATCTGAGATTTTGCACATGTTCTTTCCTCTCCAAACAGCTGATCATTTGTCGGAACCGCCGCTATAGGAGTACTATAGCATATAGCTGTCATACAAACTGACCGGTCAAAATTAAGTTCTTGTATGAAATTGTTTGTACTTGTAAAGGGTATTATAAGCTGATTATTTTCCTGTTTTTAATAAATTATGATAAAAGCAAATTGTTACATACTCACATTTTCATTTCGATTAAGGTTCACAGTAGATATATTTACCGATACATTTGCGTTTGGTTTTAGATCTATGATTATTTAATTCGTAACAATTAATTAAGCACACTTAGGTAATTTAAAAAAAAAAAAACATAAATGTGTTCCACTGTAAATTTAAAACGCTCGTATATTGATAATAATCTGACTAATTAATTCGATGGTTTTTAAAACCGCTTTCGCCATTTAACGCAAATTGCGAAGTAATTTTAACTGATTTTAATCTCGTACACCGTAATTAAATTGGATTGCGGCTTTAAATAAGTGTTTTTTAATTTATTCTCAAAAGCATTAATTCATGCTTTCACGCACTTGCGTACACCACTTTCATTTTGCCTACTTTACGAGTGAAGATCTCCTTCATATGTGTGTTAAACGTCGGAGAATATTCCACTCTCACTTTTCTTTCGGTCGCAAAGAACCGTTTCCGTTGAATGTCTCCAAAGTACTGTTGTTGATGCGGCTCCACCAAAGCCGGCTGCCTGTATATGTTGCGCTGTTTTGTGTCGCTGCCATGGTTGCCATTGCTCCACGCTACGCCACAATATGTTGGTCTTTAGGTTAGTGTGTGTTTGCTGTTGCCATTGTAGCGATTGTTGCCAATATCTACCATACATACTTATGCTAGCTTGTTGTCGCTCCTCTGCGCCGCCAGTGCCACAACACTCAGCTTTGTATTTGACCATGCGTGTGTTTGTTGTATTCTGCTACTCGTCTGGTTCTCTCAGTGTGCACTCACACAAACTGTTGAAAGTGATAGTCACCCACTTTTTCGCCCTATATATCCTCACATTGGTTCTTCAATTGAAACCATTAATGAATTTACTTCATATTCCGCACCTGAATTCGTTGTCATATGATTTCTACAATGGCTGAAAAGTCCTTGGCTTGTCCTTATTAAAGTACTAAGCTTTACTAGAATACTATCAATAATATTTCATCAAATAATTGGTCTCAAAGTAATGTTATCTCTGCTAAGTTTGTAACAATAGAAAAAAGTCTTTTGTGTCTCGAAAATTTCCATTCATTGTTTCCTGATGGATAAAACATTTTTTTACAAAGGAATACATAGGATTATTCTAACATATCCTTGTTATAGTACGTATAGTAATATGGGTGAAATCGGACTACAACCAATCCTCTTCTTAAACTTTCCAGTATACAAATCCAGCACCAAAGAATATCTGTGAGATATATTATTGTACTTCGGAGAGGTACCATATACCTTATCGAAATATTTTCGAACTTCTGGGTTAGTTCATATCGCATATAGCGGCTAATATATGGGCTATTTTAATAATATTAAGTGGATGTGGTTTTCTTATAATGGTGCATTTGTGTGCCGAAAATGAGTAAAATCTGGTAAAAACATGCCTTAGCACCCATATACTTAACTAATCACAGAATTTTCAAACATCCGTTTGATTTTACTCCATATTTGTGGGTATGTGAGGTACCTTAATGAAAATCAGGAAGCATTTTATTTTGTTAATAGTATGTTGTGTTGTCACAAATAGTTAAAATCGAGTCAATATATATATAAAACGTGGACCAGGTGGTGAAGTGAGCGTTAAGATACAAATGTGATGGTAGGGATTATTTGTTGTGAACGAGACTAAATTTGATTCTGTTTAATTGGCATGACATCTGTCAAACATATTCAATAACGTTACATTCATTGAACCAACAACATCATATTATTTCATTGTGTTGAAAATGGGGAACAAAACACAAGAATACCACACAACAACACAATATCAAGTTGAAACAAAAAGCATCGCAAACAAGAAGCAACTGTGGCAACCCTAAAAATTTGAAAAATGGTTGTGACCCTGCCCTCTAAGATATCTCCTCAGCCAATATAGCTATAACAACCAAATTCGATCTGAATAAATCGCTTAAGTACCATTTCCGACACTGTAAAAATGGATGATATCGGATGATAACTCCTAGATTTTCAAACTTCTTCATTCATTGAACCAACAACATCATATTATTTCATTGTGTTGAAAATGGGGATCGCAGTAGCAAGGGGCACCTGTGGGCTAAAAATTTTGAAAAAATGGTTGTGACCCTGCCCTCTAAGATATCTCCTCAGCCAATATAGCTATAACAACCAAATTCGATCTGAATAAATCGGTTAAGTACCATTTCCGACACTGTAAAAATGGATGATATCGGATGATAACTCCTAGATTTTCAAACTTCTGATTCAATATGTAAGATATCTTAACAAAATTAATTGAACGGATAATATTGGACAAACATAATTTAATGCCGAAAATATGTGATATTGGTGTACAAATCACCCAAACCCTCATAGGTATACCACTTACAAGGTTTTCGTTATTCTAGTATAAAATGTTCGGTTACACTCGAACTTAGCCCTTCCTTAGTTGTTTTCTTCTAGAATTTTGTTTATTTATAAGAGTTTGACCAGTGGCAACGCTGTATTCCATTCAAAATGTCCGTTCAAAATCAAGTTCTTGTAAAGAATTTTTCTTTTTTTGTGAAGGGTGTTCTAGCTTCGGTACAACCGAAGATACATTTTTTTTTTGGTTATTTTTTATAAAGTTAGTAAATTAATATTGATTAAATAAAACGCACAATCCATAAACAAATCAACTCAATTAATTTATTTTTTATTAAATATTTCATCGGATCTTACAATAAGCAGCCGCCGTAAGCACTTTCCAAATCAGTAATCAAATCTAATTTCACTCCTCACAACACTCAACATTCTTAACTGGACTGACATAGTACAATAGATTTCAATTTTATCAAAACACTCCAAATATACAATTACATAAGCTCACATTTACATATTAATTAATGTAGTATTATCCATATGTGCGAGCATTTAATTTGTAAATGTTTGTATGTTTGTATGTATGTAGAATATAACAACACTTAATTTATTTTTTATACAATACAACAATAATAACTTAATCACCGACTTACATACATATATTTCGTCAAATCCGTTCGGCTTCTTCAAAATAGATAGTAGGTATCTACTAAGTGAGATTATTAATTAACACATTAACGCATCACTTATCATTACATTACTTCTTATTAAATACAATACCAACTAATTACATTACAAATACACAAAATGAATGCAATAAATTCACATCAAAAATATCGAACATTTATTATTATTTATTTTTCAGTTTCAATATTGTTTATTGGTTTAACGGTAAACTCAACTTCTTTGTTACTGCTGAAAATCGGCATTTGTACATATTTACATACAAATGTATATAGCTCAAAGTACATATGTACACTCTTGTATATGTTATGTATGTATGGATATATTGTTGCTTACTGTTGTTAGTGTAAGTACATATACTTTTTTTAGTTGTAGGTGTATTGGGAGTTTGGAAGCACAAGCACAAACTGCTCTTTTTGAGGATAATACCAATACCGTTAGCAATGAAAGTGAAAACGGAAAGAAAAGCTCAGATATGCATGTGAGTATGTAAGCACTTAGGTTGTGAAAGCAAATGAAGTAGGGCTCAAGTTAGTAGATATATTTTAGAAAAAAGTCAAGATAATAATTTATATATTACAGTGAAGTGGAAAATAAGAAAAGTTCTTTGTTATAGCGAAGTAAGATTTTCGATTTCGAATACAAAATATGTAAAAATATGAGTACAAAATATATAGAAGTACTTAAAATTATTTTCGAAACTGCTTTTGAACTTTGCTACACACGAATATCCTTAAGCAAGTGCTTTTACTGTTAAAAATTACAAATTTACAAACATGCGTTCTTATTTATAATAATATATGGTATGTTATAATTGTTTGTTTATAATTTATTTAATTTTTTTGCAAGTCTTTGCTCGTTTTTATTATTATTTCTTTATGTAAAGTCTTAAAAGTTTCAATAAAATGATGATATCAAATATATGCTTCATAGAAAATTAAACAATAAACTGTTTATTTTTGTATAAGAAACTTTAATTATTTTCAAATAATTTCGTTTGCACGGCTATAACTTCAATTTTACAACCATTTGTATGTATTTGAATATTTATACATATATTCATCTTGGTACTGGTAAAATATTAGTTCAGTAAATGTTATTTAAAATTTAACGGTTTGTTAAATATGGATTGTTTTATTTGTTTGTTTAATTAATTATTCAGCAGCAAAGGTATTTGTTTAAACATTTATGCATTTAACTCGTTAAGTTTTTATATAAAATATCTTTAATGTTAACCAACTTCAATATATTAATTTTTTATACTTAATTGTTTACTTCTTTTCTATACACATAAATAGTATGTACATATACATACGAGTTTGTTTGATTTAGTAGTTCTGAAGATACGGAAAATACTTGTACGTACACGAGTACACACAAAAATAACGGGTGTTTCAACATAACCGGCAGCCCAGCAGGACCAAAACATCTACTAGAATGCCGAAGTGGAAAAAACTTAATATTGCAATAATAAGGTTTATCTCTTATAACAGGAAAGTTGCAATAAAAAAGCAAATCTGAATAGTTAAGTGAAGAATTTGAGCAAACTTTGGATCATCACTTCTCAGAAACCGCTTTTAATGAGTTGACATAGCTTACGTGGGTCATTTACGGTCAGCACACATTTAATGGCATTCTTTTAAGAGATTTCGAAGATTTGATACTTTTAGCAAAAGCTTCATTTTTTAAGGAAAATTAATATGCTGCAATGGTAGCTAGGTCTATATAATCTAACAGACGCTTATTTGAGTTCGATTGAAACTGCCAACTCGGTAAGATTCTTTAAAGCCATTTGATGAATGTCTTACCACCAAAAAATTCTAACCAATAATATATTTATTTATTTATTTATTTCGTTCGCAGACATTCTTTTGAGTTTCAGATTCCACAGAGCACTTCTACACAGATTAAATAGAGTTGATGGCCTTTGAAGTGATATATCATTTATTAGTGTTGAATATGAAAACACAATTTCGATGTTTTCGGATCAAAAAACAGAAACTTTACTGCAAAGGTGCTTATATATGGTATATATTCTCCCAAAGGAATTTGGTTCTTGACTAAACTATTTTAATTGTTGGCGCGATTTTATCCCATAAATAGTCGGACTAAATGTTTTAAACCCCAAAGAGAAAGCTGATAAATTTGTCTGATTATTTAATGCTTCAAAATTACCTTCGGCATTATAAAAAGGATTTTTCGGTGAACCCGATATCGCCACTGCATCTTGCCGAAGAAAAGCATAAAGATAGTAAAGTACAGCATAGTTAACATCAGGTATGATTAATGCTAATGATATCTGGTATCATAATATTAGTTATTTTTGCTTACAGCTACAACCATGAATTTGTAAGCAGCTTTATTGCTTTGTTCGTGCATTAAACTAAAAGCATGGCCAAACCATCGTAGGAGAAAAAGCTAGATCTAATATTTTTGTTATATGAATTTCTAAGTGAACTAGGTGTCGGTAGCGGTAGTTCTCCAATGAGTATAACCTAAAAATTAGGTGCATTCGCAACTGCTAAGTATCAGCAACTAAATGGATGATTGAGGTCTAATTATCCACAACAATTATTACTCTCCGTTATTATGTGGAATTCTAAGAAACAAGCATAATTTTAATTGAACATAGAAACAGAACAGTTAGCGAAAGGCATTTCTGGTGAGTGTTGTAAATTTTCTAGTTTATTGTAAGTGGAAGACTTGCAACACAAACTTTTGCGATTGTCCAGTTACTGAAGTGCCTTAGTATTATCGCGTATATTTAAGTATTTATTTGTACATATTGTTAAATACAAATTTGTATAGCAATGCAATAAAAAATAAATTAAATTCAAAATATAAATGTGAAAGAATAAGAAATAACAAATACAAAAACAAAATTTAAATTATTTTATTTAAACCATTATAAGTGAAATCATGCGTTTAATAGAGAATGCTTACGTATTTGTGTGTGTACACGTACATACATCGTAAAATACAAACTATCTCATTGGCACATAAATGTATTAAATTTTTTTTTGCACATTCATTTATTTTTCCGAAAACCTCAACAGAACTTTAATTCAGGTAAATTAATGTGTATAAATCATTTGTTATTTATAACAAAAAATTTACTTTCTAACAAGTAAAAAGGTTGCACCGACCCGCAACCCCTATAAAAAAAGGCTGAAGTTCAATTAATTAGTAGAAAAACGAGGTTTCGGTTCTAAATCGCTACGCGTCGCTAGTTCCAAGCAGAAGAGACGACCTTTAAACATATGAATTTACGGCTAACACTCCACAACTTAGTGTTTTAAAAGTAAATACAGCTACTTTTGATTTATGTATCTCGAAATCTCATATAACTCACACCACTTCCCAGCTTGGCCAAATTTCTTTTGCAATTTCTCACTGAATCATACATATGAGTTTCGAAACTTGGCCTCTTCAACACGCCTTATATAAGATATAAATAACATTTCTTTGAAAAACTTAATTTTAGAAGAGTTTATTTTTTACAGTTTCATTAACTTTATACCTTCAATAATTATAATAACCTTCAATATAATTTATGTAATTATTTATTATTTTATTTTAAAGAATTACCAGTATAATTTTGTTGTTAGTTTCACCTTAGTTAATGTTTATTGTAAATAGTTCTTAAATAGTAGATTTATTTAATTATTGTTCAATCGGTTCAAATATATTTCCGGGCATTTGCAGTTGCAGCCATTAAATATAATTTTTCTAGGTATTTATGTTTGCTTTGTTTGTTCTCAATTAATTTGTTTGTAAGTAGTATGTATACAGTTATTAAGTACTATATATAGTTTATACATTCTGCTACGTTTCTAAGTTGCTTAATATACAAAAAGATTGTTTTTGTTTTTAAATAAGGAAAATAGTTTCACGCACAACTCCCACAAGTTGGAGCTGTCCGAGCTGATTTGTCTAAATCCAAAACATACAAATATGCCTATGTATGCGCCGCCATTGAACATTTTATTTAAATATATATATATATATATATGTATTTCTATGTATGTATATATGTTATATATATTTTTTGAAAATTGATCATTTACAATTGTTATAGCAAAAGAAACACATTTTGGCACATTATTCAGTTTCAGTTCAATAAATTTTATTATTTCCGGTTTTTGCATGTTTCATTTGCCTTGGTTGCATGTACACACGTGTGTGTGTGTGTATACGCAAGTATTTAATTGTTGTTCTATATAAAAGTGTGTGCTGTTATTTAATCTATAAATGTAATTAAAATATGTGTGTATGTATGCAAGTAATATGTATATATTTATATGTATAGGAATTTTCTTCTTAACTTTATTTGTAAGTATGTATTGCAGCTATGTACGAGTATGTTTGTAATTAGCTGTTTTAGAATGGAGCAAAGAGATTTAGATTTTATGCAAATTCTCAAATATTATAAATAAACACTTCACAGTTAACATATACTTGTATACATATACATATGTATTAGCACATACATATACCATATATAATTGTATTTATGTATGTAGGTACACACGATTTCAAATATTGTTTGATTCACTTATCGATAAAAACGTTTTGCACGATCGCTTTTCGAATTGTTATTTTGGATTCGGCACACGTGACGCAAGTGCCGTCAACGATAGACGCCAAGGTGTGTGTGTATGTGAGTTACTCAGCAGTTATAATCTCAGTAATCAGTGCTAAATTGCAACAGTCAACTGTCGATCTCACATTTTCCATTTTCGCCAATTTGCGCACTCTTCCCAACCAAAAAGGTAAAAAAATTTAATTCTCTCGCAAATTTTGCTAGAAATGGCAAATTTTAAATTGTCCATCCACATTAACGAACGACTTCGTTAATTTGCGTATTTATTTGTGTGTTTGTTTTTGTGGTTGTGTTTATCCTTGTGTAGTGACCGTTCGGCTCCCGCGAAGCTGGTTACGCAATAAAATATCGCACCTGATTCGTGAAAATCGCTCGTCCCTGCAACGTCGCATTTTAGATGCTCGTGCTTGTGTGTCGATTGATTCCACGCTTTCGCCGGTAACCGCCCGGACTACGCTGCCACCACTAGTTGTTGTTTTTCCACCGTGAAAGCAATTCCTTCCAACGGTTCTTGCGTCGCCTACTTCAAATTTGCCATATCAGTAAATGATTGGTGCTATCTTCACGGCCAGCGATTTCGCTTAACGAATTTGCACCCGAATTGCGGAAGTCCTCGTAGCCATCACCGCCGGATATCACGAGTATGGTACTCGATTCCGATTTCGGTTTCATATGCTTCGTGGAACTGTAAGGAGATTTGTATAAGCATAGTATAAGACAGTCAAGTGCCAAACCGCATACCTATGACTCCTGTATTCATTGCTGCTTACAGCATTTTCGTTATCGCGTCCCGTGGACCCTGTACTGCTGCCGCTGCCTTCTGAGCTGAGACCACTCGTCTCTACGAATGTCAGGAAACGCACATGTCCGGTGTGGCCGTGTGGAATGCCAGTGGGTACCACATTTTGTACGCCCTTCTCAAAACCTTGCGCCGGTATGGTGAGCAACACACCCGCACTGGTACCAATCCAAATGAGATCGCGGCAGGACAGCAGCGATGTGACACGCAAACAGGCAGCCTTGTGCTGGCGTATAATCTCATCACAATTCGAAAGCATTTTATTCACAGCTGGCGCTAAGTTAACTTCGGCTATTAACTGATGGCTGAAATGTCAAAATTTATTATTGATTATATGCGAAAGTGTCAGTACATATCCAGTTCTAAATAACCGGTGGAAGAGCCTACTCAGAATGATTTGGGGATAGATCTAGAAGGGTTTTTAAAAACAATAAATACTCGAAAAACTAGGAATAAGATGACATATTGTAATAAAAATATTATATTTCAAGCAAGGGATTTTTATAAGATCTTATAATAAATATATCCAATAACAATTAATTTTAACCTCAAATATTTACCTCATGGAATGAAAACACTTGATATGTGCCGAGTTTTGTATCGAAATCCACACGTAATTATTCGACACCGTCATGTTGGTAATAGGTTTCGAATCAGATGAGATTTGTATTTGGTTTACCACCTGAAAGTACAAATTCCAACACATTTTCGATTACCCAATATTATAGAATTAGTGTAGAATCGCCACTAACCAACAAAGTCTCCGTATCTAAAACCTTTATGATGCCTTGTATGGAGCACCACAGTTTTCCGTGCACATTCAGCAACTTTGTAACGGGACTTGTTACAGTACCGATTGAAAGACAATGCGACGAACTGGTATTCCAGACAACTGCAAATACAAATGGTTAATTAATCCAAATATAGGATATCCGTTAGCATATACAACAAAAAGCATCGAACGCAAACTAGTCTCTACTAAAACTATAGTTATAAGTTGGTAACATAGATTGGTTGGTTGAAGTAGATGTCGATAAGATGGCTCTTATTTTATGGGTTTGTGGGCATGGTAAAAATGTGTAGGCTAATTGTTTCTAAGCCGAGGAGATAAAAATGAACTTTATCACCAATAGAAACCGTAGGTATATCCTTTCTATACATACTTATGTATTTTCAAGTCCAGGAATTCTACAGTAACGCAAATGCACAAGTTACTTACCACCATCACGCAAGTAAACACAAATATCACCATTAGCTAAAGAGACAAAAACCCTGTTGTCCAGGTACCTGAAAAATATGAATAAATTAGAAATGAGTTCAGAACGCTCGATCTACTTGGGCTCACAATATGGAATACACAGCCGACTGATGTTCGATCTTTATGCGGTTTTTCTTGATGCGTATATTATCGGTGCTATTGTAGACATGAATGCAACCGTCTTCTGTGCCGATCCACATTGTTGATAGATTGCCCTCTCCTTCATCCGGATTCGAGTCCTAAAAATATTCAAAGAGCATTCCACATGAGTAAGTACAAACTTTACAATAGAGCATTCACACTTACTTGATGTGAGTGGTGCGATGGAGTGCCGCTGCTGCTGCTACCTGGCAATGTCATCGAGGCGACCGTCTGTGTTGAGGGAGCCGGACTTGGCACGCGTTCGATTATGCCACTGTCAGTGTTGCACATGGCGCCAACAGAGCCGCTAGCGTTCGCTAGAGCTGTATCGGTTTCATCATCGCTAGAGCTCAAATTCAAATCCAGTTGGTTGTCACCGCTAGCGTCACCATTTGCACTGTCCTTACCAACACAGGCGCCAATGGACTTCGCCGCTCCCGCTCCCGCTACCGGTGCTAATGGCGTTTTCTTCTTCTCCGGTGTGCCAATTACTGTGGGCGGCTGGAAGTTCGGAGAAATACTTTTGCGATAATCGCGCAATTGTTGTGTGTAACTGTGCAGCGGTGTAGTACTGGCGCTGCGTGGGAGCGTTTGTTGTTGTAGCTGCGTTCCACTGCCTGTGGAATTTCTATTGCTCGAATTGTAGGCGGGTACGGAGGCTACACAAAGTATGCGGGCATTGCAGACACCATTGCAGCTAGTGACATTCGGTTCTGGGTAGAGGGACATGATACAGACTTGGCCCACATAGCCATCACTGTTGCACACCCACACGTCACGCTTTTCGCTGAGCGTTGCTGCGGCGCAAGTGAACTGTAGTCCAGCGCGGGTTTTACGTATCGGTATGGACATCAGAAATTCTGGAATAGGATGTCGCTCAAGAGTGGCGGCTGTGAAAAGTCAATAAAAATAGATGAATCGAGTGAAATTTGAAATCGAAGAGCATAACACTAAGCTCACCCAACTTCTGTTTGGCTTCATTGAAGGTCTCCTCCCACTGTGTGCGTTTCTCAGCTTTGCTGAAGACGATCGAGAGTTTCTGACTTCCATTCCTATAAAGAAATATTGCGTGTTAAAATGCATTCATTGCAAGTTTTTGTTGGCAGCTTACGGTGAGTTAACCAGTAGATCCAGCATATTCAGTTGTGTGTCATTGGTCTGACGCTCCGATAGCTGACGCTGTACATCTCGCAGTAATTCACGTATGACATCCTCCAGGTACTGGTGTGGATACTTGAGTGATGCAGTGATATCAGCGATTTGTTGTAACTTATTACAGTCTTCGGCTAAATTTTCTATTTCGTTCATTATGCGCTTCACATTTTCATCTTTAGCTATTAGTTAAGAGAAAAGTTGGTATAAATTATTTAAAATCAAACTCAAGCAAATACATACTCTTCACGATTTCTAAGCAATCCAGCGAGATCTTAGTAAGGAACTTATATTTGTTGGTATCGAGTGTGGAGGCCACGGTACCTGGGCAGGTAGAACTGTAATAAATCACACACATGTATAAGATATCACTTTACACGCTGGAATCAAACTCACGGGTTGGGCTTTCGTATTGTGCCGCTGCGTTTCTTGATGCTTGTCAACACTAATAGATCATTAAAGAGAAAGAAGCCACGCTCTTTGCGCGCGCCTTGACCCGATGGCATCGAAACCAAATCAAAAAGTAAAAACTGTCGATCGGGTGTTATCAGATCTGTTATACCCTCGATAACACCCTCAAGTTCACGCAAAGTCGCCTCGCGTTGCCCATTTTCAAGAATTTCACGCTCTTTACAATTGATATGGACAAGTATATCGTGAACAAGTTTGAGCACGCCCTGCAGATGCTTTTGATCGGGGTGATCGCGATCGGTGTGTTTTATGAGTCTTTGAAAGAGCATTTCGTAACTGAGAAAGAGATCGAAAGATACAGTTGATTAGCAACTAACTATAGTGTTTGAATCACATGGAAAGTTTACTTTGGAAATTTCTGCACCGGTTTGATGAGCAAATTGTCCAGCGTCAATTTGCCTTTGTGCTCACGTGCGGTCATTTCTAAGAATTTCGCAAACGAGGGTCGCTGATGTTTCGTAGAGCGGATAGCATTCTTGGCACGGTTACAGTTATTCACAAAAGATGTGTACACCTCCAAAACCTCCAACTTGGAAAACTGAAGCGATCAATGAATCAAAATATTAAATGACTTTCTTGGAAAAAATATCTAACAACTGAGCAAACGCAACTCACCGTTTCCAGGAAAGCATCACCGACTTTTTGGTTTGCCTCCCAACTATCCCAACGCGATTTCAACTCGGCCAGAAATTTTTGGTGTATTTCCAGTATGTCGGGTACCATAAAGAATATCTCATCCACCGTGCGAGAGTCGATCATGCCAGCATGTTCGGGAGACTTGAGTACCTTGAAATATTTTGTGACAATTATTTGCAGTGACTCTACATATGACTGTTCATTGCGTAAGATCTCTTGCACCACATGTGTACGTGTGTCCTGAAAGCAAAAAGTTTACCATAAAATTAATGAATGATCATAAAAATTCACAGCTACAAATTATCTCCAGTTGCATAGACATCAACGATTTTTGGCATATCACTTACACCATCGTAGTGTCCATAATTCCATCGATTATTAATTTCGAGCTGTGCGCGACGCTCGGAGTCGTCCTCCGAATCGGAACAGGTGATCGATTGCATTTTCTTCAGCCGCTCACACTTATCGTTTTGATGTGCGACAATGACTTTATTGATCCGATTCACGGCGGTAGTGATGGCTTGATTGGCCATCACCGACATGGTTTGTGAAACACTGACATTATTACTACTACCGTTTGATGTCGCCGGTGTGTTTTGTTGCAAATCAAGCAAACTGAGCCGCAAACTTTCACGGTTATGAGTCATTTTTAACGTTTAAATTATTTTATATATGTTATTGTATTTGGTATCTTTAGGTTATGTTAAGTTATAATTTTTCACTACTTTGAACTTTTTGTTTGTTTTTTCTTTTTTTTTTTTTTGCTAAACTTATTAGTTACTTTTCACTTTAGGTTAGTTATTAACAGCATTTTCCTTTGATGAGCTCTGTAGAATGAGGTACGCAATGTATTCATGAAAAAAATATTCGACAACATTGAGGACCCTTGAGCCATATAGAATGAATACTTTCAAACACTCAATTGGAAATTATACTATTTTCTGTGGAATCATAAGCAAAATTTTAATAAATAAATTATTTTTTAAATGGACCTTGACTTAGTGTACCAGGCCTTGTTGAAATTCACTTCATTAAGAAGTGATTAACGTCATTTTTTTACTTCGAGTCTCTTTATTCGACTAATTTTGTTTTCGCTTAGCAAAAGCGTTACCAACAACTAGCGCTCAGCAATGTGCGTTGTATATGCGAGTGCCGCTATCCACTTGTGTCTCCCAACCAAACAGACAACAGTCCTCAGCTTTGGTATGTGCCTTAACCCTGTCCCCACATGACCATTCTCTAAAGTTAAATATCTCAATTTATTCTACTTCGCCATAGTTCACCCCTTTTTATTCAGTGGCAGTACAAAACGACGTTAAAAGTATCTAACCGTAGCTTTTTGTCAAACTATACTCTTCGCTCAATATCACTGATTTCTTTATATTCGAGCAACTTTTCTCTAAAAAAGTATAATAGATTTTTAAATTTGATAAAAAATTGTTTATTGTTCTACAATATATCATTCACTTCAAGAGCTTACTAAACGCTTTCGTGCTTGTATGAGCTTTATTGTGGCAACAAAGCCCTCAGATTCGTGAGAGGTCATCTATTGTTAAGGCTGATATGCCGTTGCAATTATTTTTACATTTTTACACCCAGCTATTCACCGCTTCAACATATGAAACACCCACCGAGTTGCAGTCAGAAACCAATGTACAGTTAACTGGCGACCATGCTTGCCTGCATTGATCGAATCACTCCGGCGGCAATGTGAGAATTTAAGCTCAGCCACTAGTTGATACGCGCGGATAGTTACGCAGCTAAGGGTTTAAAATAGGCCAAAACAGGAAATAAAACAGTAAAGAATGCAGCAGAGCCTCCATGAGACATAAACATACATACCATATGTGTTGCAGCACCTAGCGCAAGTATTTAACATTATATAAATAAATAGAGATATTCATACTTAGCACAGTACATATAAAAGTGTGCTATAAAGGTTACATTAGGGTGATCGATCATAAAAATGAGATTGAGTAATGATGTTTTACAGTACTCCTCAAGAATAGCATTTGATTTACTCGTATTGACTCGTATTTTAGAGTGAAATATTATTACTTAAATAATTCAAAAGGTAAATGTCAAAACTAAATGAGTATGAGACAAGTTTTGAGTTCGAGTAATATTAATATTTTGAAGCTATCTACATAATATCTCACATAGGATAATGATGGCTAAAATTGTACAATAAAAGCCTAAGCGACTTATGATTGCAACCAAAATCGCAAAATCTCACATTTTTCATACGACTTTCTAGATGAATTTTCAGAAGCCCCTGATCTATGTCAGTAAGTCACAGCCAACCCATACCCTAAGGTATTTAGTAACTTAAGTGTGCTTCTTTATGGAAATTTCCTTGGAAATAGACATACTCCGTTATCATTAAAAATGTATTTAGCATTAATTTCCCTTCAAGAAGTTATTAAGACATAATTAGCGCTCTTCGGTTTAACATTAATCAGTTTTACTATTGTGAATGGTTCTAAAGACAAATGAAAATACAAATTTCTTTTTTTTTTCTTACTTAAGACATTAAACAAATTATAATAATTTATAGAATACAAAACTAAAGGGTTACTGCTACGTTTTTTCACGCGAAAAAGAGAGAATCATAACACTGATGCGCATGCATCAGAAGACAAATTGGTGCAGGGTTGCACCGCAAGTAAATGCGTTTCCCAAAAATATACAGGAAGCATCCTACCTACGTAGATACGAAGACAAACTATTTATTAACTATTGATCATTATTGCTTGAAATACCACGGTAATGAAAAACCCGACCCACCCTAATGCGCCTTAAAGGCAGGCTATAGTAATATTGTAAACAGCTATTCTTTCATATATACATGCGCTCATCATAAGCTAAGTACGTACGAGTGTACTAAGCTACACCTGGAAGAAAAAGACATGTTTTCCACTTGTTATTGTTATTGTTGATGCTGTCGCCTGTCAAGGCTATTATATTTTGCATGGAAGCTTGTTTTCACCTCTATGCCCACTCAGGGTGTTTATAGTTTCGCGGCGCTATTTACACCTGCACTTTGAAGTGGTTTATTCAAGGCTGCCAAATGCCAAAGCCAGTAGGATGTAACCGAATGGCGGTAAAAGTAATACAACAAAAACAAAAAGTTCATAAGAACGTTTTCTAAATCGTAAACAGAACGCAAATAAATCTACAGCTGATTTACCTACTTTTTTCACCGAATTTTTGTCATAAAAATGTATTGCATCTGTTTTAAAAATTCACTACATTTCGCACTAGTTATGAAAACAGTATTTTTTTACATACATTTTTTTGACCAATTTTTTACTTCACTCGAAAAATCGCAAAAAAGTTTCACTTAAATTTTATTTTTCAAAGCTGCCAGAATTTTAAGCGCTCGCAGCGATTTTCCGTGCACACGTCTCCAGCAACAAAAAATTCAAAAATTGTAAGGAGACTCACACAAGTCACAAGCGACAAAGAGCAGCGCAAAGGTGGAACTAAACTTTAAATGCCCAACGCTTGGATGCGTAAGTGCAGAAGTACCTGCGTGTTGGCGTATCCAAAGCATGGCAAAAATAACACATGTGTTTGCATACTGCTGGTTGTACGTTGCGTATGAGTGTTCGCGTAAGCGACGCTTAGGCACGCCACTAAACGCTGCATTTAACGGTAACACAATGTCTCGGCAACAATGACGGCGCTAAATGGCATTTGCTGGGCGATGATGACCGCGCTACTCAGCGCAACTAATGAAAAAGCATGCGCTGCAGCTGCAGCTGATTGAGTGTGTGTGTGTGTGCGGCGTTGCAAATGAACAGCGTTGTGCAAAATAAACCCAGCGGCAGCAATATCAATTACTGCAGCAGCAGCGACCCACTTTCGTTGAGTAGCCTGTATGCCCCCGAGTTTATAAGCGAGAGATTATCCGTGTGTATGTGTGTGTGTATAGACATGTAACGAACCACAAAGGCCTAACAATAGTTGCCTTTGGCATGCTACCCCATTTAACCAATCGACTAACCAGCCAGTAGGATGTAACGGCTTTGTACACGAAGCGCTTCCGCTGACTGGCACGCTGACAAGGCTCTCATGTGACATTACACACACATATATACATACATATATAACTATGCATATTGCTATATAGATGTTCATAAGTATAATGAGACTTGAATATTACACAGTTATTCCCGACATACCACCCTCATCACTGTCACTTTGCCGCACTCGGCTGACGTTGCGCTTCCGTTGCTCACGCTCAATAACCCTACCTCCACCTACCAGCGCATAACCCACAATAGCAGTGGCAACCACCACAATAAACACTCAAGGCTGCTGTCGAACAGCCGCTTTTGTTGTGATAGAAAAACTAAATATGTTATAGAAAATTATCTGCAAGCACTAACATGCTTGTCGCGTGCTCGTTACATGTGCTAACATTCACACGTCAGAGTTGTGGCGCTTGGCAGCGTATACGGAGTGGTGAGGACTACAGTGCTGTCGGCAGGTGCTAAAAGCGCGCAAGGCACAGACGTTGCCACATTTCTTTCTATTTTGTGATTTTTTGCTTTTTTGAGCAACATGTCGGGGTCGGAGCAGAGGGTAGTCTTTGAGTGCGGCCAGGCGAGGGGATGAGCGGAAACATTTTAATTTCTGTCTACTTGTTATTATAGCATAATCGCAGCCGCCTGATGGAGTAAGGCAACAGGCGCATGAGACGCCGATTGCCACACATATAGATATGTATATACATATTTGAACGAGTGTATATGTATATGGTATGTATCAATGTTTGATTATTTTTGGATTTCGCTAAGCAAACGCCAACGGACTGATCATGATGGCATGTGCCTGTTAGTGGCCACAACAAACATGTACATACATACATACATACATACGAACTACCGCTGCATGCTATACCAAGTAGTCGAAAAGCTTTTTAATAACTTTCAAATATTATTAGGTCTGATTTTTATTTTTTATTTTAGCATTCCGATTTTCTCTACGATGGCGTACGAAATCACAAAAAATGCAAAATGCGCATAAACATGCCATTTTCCCATTTTTTAGTGGCAATTCCATATTATGCACACATACACACACGCAGAAGTACTCAAGCGCAAAATAAAATCGAAATAATAATTTCTCTGATACGAATAATTTACAGTAGCACGACGAGAGCGGGGATGCGCGAGAGCAGTGTCTCCGCTATGAAAGAGCGCGGAAAAAAAGAGTTTCTGGCAGAAAAGCTATGCACTCAACATACTCGTTGGATACAAAGCAAATATTTTATAAAAAATGTTTCATTTTTCTCAAATATAAACTTTTTTGTCAACATTGAAATATCGCCTTCAACGTCTCGCAAGGACACCTCACTGCAGCCTGATTGCCTGCTTCAGGTTGCCAGATTACATTTGCTGCAATTCACGCATTTACATATATGTATATGTATGTATGCAGCCAGCGCTTGTATACACCGATTTTGTGTATATATACTACATACAAGTATGTATGCATGTTCGTACAGCAGTGAAGATATGTAGCGTATACGCAGGTGCGATTTTATGTGTACACAACGTAAAATTTTTACACTCCACTGGCTTTTTACTAGTGAAAAAAGGATTCGATTGCCACTTAAGCCACTTGTATGTGCCATGCACACATACATATGTATGTACATTTATATACGAACGGCTTGCTTTGTAGCTGCGTATTTGAAAATTTATAAATTTCTTTTCATTCTTGCTATTAGCTTTGGCAGGCTTGATTTTCCTAGACTAATATTCAAAACACACAAATATTCCGCACGTCTTCATCCACCAATGAATGCACACATCCAACACACAAAGTCACATGCCTGCGCCTGGTTATCTGGCTGGACAGACGCGTATACAAAAGTACATATACACATAGCAGTTTTGAAGATTTTCAACATCAACATTTCAGCTGCAATTATTGACCTCCTGATACACACTTTCACAGCAAAACATTTTAAAAACCGTTTTTAATTGAAATTCCGCATTTTTTAAGCGTTGCCGACGACGTCCTACTTTTTGTATGTGTTGTTTGGGTTTTCTGGTGGTCACTTTCGTTTCGAGTTTTAAATGATTGTATTTTGTTATTGTTGTTGTTTTGTTATAATTTTAATATTTGCGTATTCGAGCCTAAACTATGAAAAATTAATTGTTTGATGCGTTGTTCAAATGTTCGACGCGAAAAATAAAACAAATTAAACAATTTTTTCGCCACAACCGACGCACGTAAAAAGGCTAAATTTTCGCTACTTCACTACACTACCACTATAGCGACTCTTCTTCTTGCCGAACACTCACTCTTCTTCTTCCGCTTGTCTCTGCTGTTTCTTCTTCCTTTGCATTTTGTCTTTCTGTATATTTTCAATGTTGGTGCGCTCTCTGAGCGCAATATTTGAAAAGCAGTCTCACAAAAATTTTCGCACTCTCCGCACAAAACTCCGCAGGAATGTGCGCTCGGAGACCTGTAGCGGCAACAACAAGTGTTTGGAGCTGAAAGCCACACGAATGGCGCACCAGGTCACTTCGTAGTTTCATTTAAGCGATAAATACAACAAAGCCACATATTATTTCTACGCAATATTTACATGTGAGTAAAATAATTGTTTCTTCATCGAATGGAAGAGGCGGCGAAATTTTATTTCTACACTCGTACAAAAATAAACACAACGTTCAGCTTGTTTATACTTATGGGAATAATTGTGAAAGCACTTGGGGGATGGCACTATTCGCACAAAGCTCCCAGCTTTCTTTCCTAAACTTTCACATTTTGGATGCCACTGTATCAACTCGCTTCTCTCACTGTGAACTTTTCTCTTTGGTTATTTGACAGCACTTTTCAAAGAAACAGTATTTTTACACAAAATTACGCTTTTTTTCTGTACCCACTCGACCAGGATATACATCACTAAGCGAAAAAAAAGTTAACAATTAAAGTGATGAAATTCTCAAAGATCTTAAACTTTCAAATTTATATCGACCAATAAATAAAGAATTTGAAATTCTGGATTCCTTTGGACCAGACAAGCATGAAGCCAACTATAGATTACCTTTCCAGTGCAGCAATTACTAAAAGTTATATTGCTACACTTTGAATAAGAAGTCAAAAGTTGAGTTAGGTCAACACCAGCGCATGCAAAAGGAGAAAGAGTCATCTTATACATGTAAATTAATTATTAGATTTCGATCCTTATAAAAAGAGAATGGACAAATGAATATATGTACATATGGTAGTCAGATAGTCACCAAAAACGCCACACCAGATTAAATTGAACGTTGAGGCGGACAGAATTTCGGTCTGCATATACCGATCAACATCAAGTTCTTGTACGGAAAACTAATTTTTATATAAATGTGTACTTCAAACGAAGAAAATTTTTTTTGGTAAAAAAAAATTGTAATTCGAAATTTACTTTAAAAGTAAGTGGGCCGGGCCGCCGCCTCTAGATGTTAAAAAAAATATTATTTTTTCTAAAAATTTGCTTTGCCTCAGGCTAAGCAAAAAAAGAAAATGTTTTTTCGTTCCACCCTAATACACCTGTAATAGGTATATAAATATGTGAACTCCTAACCGAATATTCTCAGACTTCATAGAGCCTGCGGATAGGCACTTGTTTATCAAAGTGAGTTGTGAAATGAACAAAACTGCTGCACGACGTCGATGCTTACAAAACTATTTGCTCTGGCAACATCTTCCGGCGAGTAGTAAATACAATAGCTTGTACGATTGTTTAAAATTAAATTAATTAAACTTCAGTGTTCCACTGCACACTTTTACGTGCCACTGTCTACGCAACCGGAAATTTATAAACTTTATATTACGATGTACATAAGTGTAGAGACTTTAACTTACCGCAGCCATCTGTTTCCTCTGCTCAGATATCAATTTTTCGCTAGAGCCTTTTAATAATTCGGCCAGCAGCTCCTGTGACGGCACCACAGTCGAGTTTTTAGCCCCACCGCTTTTGGACTTGGCACTTGCCCCAGTGGTCGCGTCGAGGCTTCGCTTCGCTTGATGTGCTATGTGATTTCCGCCTGAAGCTGTTTTCTCACCACTCATAGACTGACTGCGTTTACTGTGATGGTTTTTCTGGACCGGAGTCTCGGAGGCTGCGCGTTTAATTTCACGCTGATTATGATGTTGGTGGGCGTAATGATGACCTGCATCAAGATAGTTCTTATCATCGCGCGTCACGGAGTTATCCAAAGTGCTTTGATAGCGTTTCTCATGTGGATTTATCTTATCCAAGCTGCCGATACCGCTATCTTTATTCATATTCTCTATTTTGGAAGGTGTGGACGCAGCACGAGTGTGAGCAGGAACGGGCAGGTAGGTATTCGACTTGCGAACTCGCATCGAGTTAGAATGTTGAGGTATGTTGCGCACTGTATTCATTGCAAGGGCGCTGGAGTCATCATAGGCGACACGTGGGCGACGTGGTTGCGATGTGCTGAGGATTAACATTATATAGCATATTATTATTATTTTTTGTTTATTTAATAAATATTATTAAAAAGGTCTGAAATTCTTAAACTATTCTTTCTACTTACATCTCGGACTCACGAAGGTCTTCTAAAATTTCCTCGAAGTGCATTTTATTAGGCTTTTTCATTTCCTTCTCCAACATTTGGCCATATGGTCCACGTAGTGGTCGTTTGGAAAATCGTTTAAAATCGTAGTCCCCTGGAACGGGGCTGGGACTGGCATGTTCGCGACATTGCGATGCGCCTCGATCGCTCTCGTTGTCAGACACCGAGTCTGTGCGTAGAAAAGGAAAACTTTTATTATTGCGAGAAATACCATCTAATGCAGTATTGCCACTACCCGCACTAAGGCTCCCGCCCTGTAATTCATCCTTCTCCTCGGAACTTTGCAAGCTAAAACTAGTAAGCCGATCAGCTTTTGTCCAAACTAGTGGCTTGTCGGATTCGGGAGTATTTACTTCAGGTGAGTATAACGAACCTGGAGTTCTATTTTCATCAGTGGGCGGACTATTAATATACATAATACCACAATCCTCCGATGTATTCAGCTTAATCACATTCAAGTTGGTAGCTAATGGAATGTCCAGTGCCAGGCCTCTATTGTGCGCTTCTACACTAGCAGCTTCATTCCACGCTGCATTGTCAATGTACATACCCTTCCGTCGTTTCGACTTATCGATACGTTTACGCTCATCTGCACTGTGCCGTGTAGTGATTGCATCGAAAGATGCTCGCTTCTCCGTTCCGACATCTAAATCGTCTTGGCTATACCGATTACTGAGCTCAGCAGTATCTATTGAAGCTTGACGCCGCTCTACGAGATCACTGAACTCCTCGTCGAACGTCTCTTTTCTACGCAATATACATTTATCATCTGCTTCTTCAGAGGAACGGCTAACTGAGATCGTCGGTACATTTTCCATATGATACTCCAGCGCTGTTTTTGGTATAGGTTTCACATTCACACAATCGTTAAGTGAGTGTAGTGGCTCTATTGTTTCTGGTATAATGCCAAACTCCTCAGGTTGCACTTCCACCCACTCCTGTGGTGGATTCTCCAAGCGCCAATCCTGTGCAGCACATTCATACACTGACACTGGTATTAGGCAAGTAGTAGCCGTCTGCAGGAAATTGTCTGGCGGAGATTCCAACGCGATTCTTTCTTCCATTAACATGGCTACGTTTGGTTCGATAAGATCGGCGTTAATGGGTTCAAGAATGGTCGGCTGTTCAATCACTTTCGCTTTTTCAACTGCACCCTCGTCCGCCTCCACAACAGCAGGCACTGGCTCAATGGTGACTGCAACTTCTTTCGCGTCAATTGTGTAGTCATTTTCAGATTGTATCGTATCTGTCAGCGATTCCATTTTCGCATGTGCAATAACGAGATTGTGCTGTAATACCATAGCATTGCAGTCTTCTGTAGTAGTCGATGCATGTTCTAAATCGGTGTTAAATATATCTTCCTCCGGTATAATATCTGGCGATTCCATAACATTTTCTAAACTCTTCATATCCTGACCGTAGTTCAAATTAATACTCATTTCGGATTTCTTCTTCAATGGAATGTAAATCCAATCGGGTTCGGACTTCACTTTCCCTTCGATTCCCACTGCAGAAATCAAGGCGTTTCTCGTCTCTTCACTGCTACTTGGCTTTTTCGTATTGGTCGCTGAATCAACTGATCCAACAACTTTGTCACGCCACAACCGATCACGCAATGCGCTCCACGAAGACTTTTTGTACTTTCCAGACGAAAGGTCAATTTGTGAAAACGACGCCGACCGAAACGGTATACCCTTTTGGGCATATGAACCGATTACCGTGCGAGATTCTGGTCTCGTCAGTTTCGTAGCTATACCTGAACTGTCGGCCAGCCGCGCATCGTCCGCACTCACAACGCTACTCGCAGTGATATTAGCAGAAGATCGCAGCGGCGGCGACTTTGATTTCTCTCTGCTCATCGACATTAACGATTCGAAATTCGACAGACTCGTATTCGGTTTGAGTGTATCGTATAGACGGTTTGTTGACGCGTGTGCCACTGCTGCTCCAGTTTGCATTGCTACATCTTTTGCTGCAGCTGTTGTTGTCACAGTCGAGGAATTATTGATTTGGTTTGCACAATCGCCAACACCTGATTTCATCTTGCCTGCAAGTTTGTCCTCCTCCTGGTCCATCAACATGATATCATCAGTGCGATTTGATATGAATGACGTTGGAGGTTCGGTACTTTCAATGGAGTAGGTGCCGGCAGAAGCAGTCCTCACTGCAGGCGCATGCATCTGTGTGTCAGCCCGCTCCAAACTATTCGAAGCCGAATGTGATCCATTACGCGGCTTACGTGGCGGCGGTATGGGCGGTGGAGTTGGTGAGGATCTATTTCCGCGCAATAGCTCAGTTAATTCTCTTAGTCTTTCGGATTTTTCGTTCGATTTTCGATTTCGCAAAGAGCCACTGCTGCCGTCCGCTGATACACCGCTCGATGCTGGAGTCGATTTCCGACCAAAACCCAAACGTTGGAAACGATCCAAAGTATTCCTACGCTTCTCCATATTAATCTAGAATGAAAAATAAACAAGTTTTTATTATTGCTCACAATGACCATTTCATAATAAATATTCTCCATCTTCTCATCCCTTCGTCCTACAAACAGTTGCCCATTTGATAAACATTACTTTGCTATGGCTGCGCGAGTGTCTGTTTAACACACATTTCGTAGACGTCTTTGAATTGAGGACCGATTTCGCATTTCCACACCCTGCGCCGCTAAATGGAGGATATCGGCGAATTGCACAAATAAAACCAAATTTTCACTGAGCGAAATATCGCAATATTCATTTATGGTATGTACAACCGAGAAGCACAACTACATTAACACACATATACTCTCCCAAATATTCGGGGCGTCCGTTTGGCAAGTGCACCAATACCATTTTATATGTGCTTGAGTGTGGTGGTGTGTTGTTGTCGGAAAAGCATTTTCATGTGCGGCACTTGGACTGGGACTGGGGCTTACTCATGTCATGCCTACACCAACAAAACACTACTCCATCTGTAAGTGTGTAAACGTGTGTGTGCGTAGGTAGATGTGGGGAGGTGCATAATTTGTTTATGTCGGATGGCTTTGTTCACACGAAAACAATGGGCAACTTAATTTGAATTTTGCAATAAATACATACTTCGGTTTGTTTTAAATAATTTCGGCAAAGCGTAAAATTTTATATTTTTGTACTAATTTATAATAAAATATTACAGCTTATCATGTACGAGAGTATTGAAATTCTTGCCAAAATTTGGTAAATATATGGTTAGTATATAATGCAACAAGAAAAGTTGTTCCGGCTACCGTATTAGAATGCAAACAATGCGTGATTCGGAGGTTCAAGGCCCGGGCGAAGTAAACTTTATGATTTGTATTTATAGAGCAATCTTTGCGGACACGATTTTCCCTAATATTTCATCAGCAGTTTAGCAGCCTTTGGAATAGGGGAATAGCACTAGTCGGATAACCAGAAGGGGTACACCATCTATATTAATGAGAAGTCAGGAGTTGATACTATCGTAAAGTAATCTTGTTTTAAAACTGTAATGAAGGACTCGGTGACTCCAGACAAAACTAATTTATATAAAGCTACATATGTACATATTTCACTAGTAAATCAAGATCCGTTTTTTTATATCCTGAACAGGGTATATTAAGTTTGCCACGATGCTTGTAACATCCCTATAAATTTTTTTCGCCTGTATATAAGCGAAGTAGTCCCTTTGTTTTTGAGATATCGATATGAAATTTTACAATGAAAGTTTAATTGTACATTAAAATGCAACCATGTAGATGTATGACACACTATTCGTCTGTGCTAGCTCACCTATGGCTTACCCTTTTGCGTTGAAAGTTAAATAAAATACGAATCCATCCATGTGGAATAATCTCTAAATATGGGTAAATAGCTGAGACACAGTCTTCATTATTAAGTATGTCAAATATAGATACGACACAAACTAATTTTTCACCTATTTTTCCCACAAATGCTGCTGCGACTACGACGATCATACCTGCTTAATATTCATCGCATATATTCCTTCGCTGTCGTTTGGCTCCGGAGGCGTGGGCATGACTATGAACCAACTCTCAGCGTATGCGGACATGCCTAAGGAACATAACCACGTTGGGCTGTACGACAAACTGCCCTCAATGGTCGGTGGACCCCAAATGAACGCAACTTTTGCTCATCCATCCGCATGCGTGTTTGGTCAGAGCCAATACGTACCAAAGATTTGCCAACTTTCTTCAGAAAGCCAGAAGAATTGAGATTGCTTATAACAAACTACGAGCAGTCAACAGAATTATGCGGGTTTTCTGAACAAGAAAACCTAATTCGATTACAACTGCGCGGTGACCACTAAAATGTGGACCTTTCTGAAACATGCTTGTGATTTGAACAATGACTATGGTTTATGCAGCTTTTTTATCCTCAAACTACCGAATTCTTTCCTATTGTTCATAACCTATTACGAAATGCTACGAAAAAGCTGTATTTCAAGACTTTTTTATATTATGAACCGGTAATTTAATACATTTTTTCTCTAACTATAACGCTTTCATTCAATTTTTGTTTTGTAATTACAAAATTAATATTATATAATCGTATGTTATATTTTTCAAAAATACGCGTTTTGAACTGCGGCTAGCCAATGCCTATTGTACCAGAAAGTGATATTTATTCAGAATATGCCTACCTTTCGGTTTTTGATAGGTGCTTAGGTCGAGTATCTTAACAAATGTAAGACAAACACAAACACAGGTTCAAGGTCCCCTGTATCAAGGAATTACTGCGAATGTTTTTTAAACTTTTAAAGTAATGATAAACCAGATATGTGAATCGAGTTAGTTACTTCTTTGGTATGTAGTATACCTAAACGGATTTGAAACATTACTTAACCCAAATAGAATTCCAAAAACGTTGGCGAAGAAATCTAATAAAATCTCGTAAAGGTTATCTAATATAAAGTCTAGCAAACCAAATATTAAAATTTACTCAAAATTTATGAATATATGTATACTCGTATATTTTTTTACCCAACAGAAGGAATAACCTACTACGAATTTCTTTCACTTTTTATCGTTTTCAAAGGCGTCTGCACTGATCTATATAAATATGTATAAAGGAATTTATCGAACCGAGTTTACAGTGGCTTTGTTGCTCTAGATATCCCAATATCCCTCCACACTGTGTCCACCAAATTGCTTTATCATTCCTAAATTGATCACATATATTTTTATTAATTTTGAGAAAATAACTTTGCACTCTCTTTCACTGCCACTAGTAGATTGTACCGATTTGGAAATTTAACGGCATCATTGTTTCTGAGGCATGCGAATCACTTTTGAAACGCAAAGGGAGATTTTCATTGAGAAATTTTGTTAGTGTGGGCTCAAATATCTCCAGATTCGATCTTTATCTAAACCCAAATACTGCCAACTTTCGGTAAGGGCCTGAGAATGGCGATCACGTGATGCTTATATACGCGAAAGAGGGACGCAGTACCCTAATCGTGACTAGAAAAATAAACTTTAATTATAATTTATTAAAATATAAGATGCGCAATTATCTTAAAAACAACAGCACATTCAATACTTTTATGAATTAATTCGTAATCTGGGCACTTTAAACCATCGAAATTTGTTAAGGTATCCTGGGCAACAAAAAAAATTTTTGTAGAGCTGTGAATTGAAAAAAAAATTAAATATTTTATTTCGTCCCAAGTTCTAGCGGGAAAAGCTGTCATTGTCAATAAAGCATATTAAGGCAAAAACATTATATGCATACTCGTAAACCCCAATGCAGCACTTTCGCATTAAAGCAAATCGTAAAATTTACATTTTGCCAAATTATAAAATCAGATCTGCTATATTTCTGATTTAAGGATGACTGTTTATAGATGTTAATCTTGTTTACAATAATAAATAACAATAGGCGCCCCACGTGCATCTTCGCCTTATTTCATCGCGTGAAATGTCATACCGACCCACAGTAAGTTTCCATTGCATGACGTAGATTTCTCATTGCTTGTAAACATACTTCGGTAGATACAAACACAACAGTATTTTTAGCATACATAAAAATGTACGTATGTATGTACGGAAACCATTGTAACGATCTGATCAGCGCTGAATTGGCGGCTGACAGTTCTCTAGTTTGTTTTTGATACTCGAAAGCGCTGTGGAGGAGCCATGAAATGAGCGAATAATAAAAGCAACGCAGCATTAACCAATACAATGGCCACATACAGTTATAATTATATATGGATTAGTGTATTAGTGTGCACTAAATGAATTTTCATCAATTTTCTTTCATTTTCTTCTTTTGCTTCTGTTTTTTCATCGTCGCTTTTTTTGATGTTTTAGCAATTTCTACTTATTATCTTCTAGATTTGTATTATTTAGTTTTTATTTGGTTTATGGGTTCCTATTTGTTCATAAATTTACACTTTGTGTAGTAGTGTGAACGCTTTTGCGTAAGTACGTAGCGGGTTATTCACGACCGAAATTACTCAGAAGATATTATTGAATGCTAAATCTTACATACATATCTACTTATGTATTACATAAGTACATATAATTATAATACATACAACTATAGAAATGATGTATTTATGAAGATATTACAGGAAATAGAACGAATATAACTTACCTATGTGCTTGGAACGGTCGTGGAAGAAACAGCTTTTTAGAAAGTTTCGAATTTGAGTTTGAAGTAAGCTTGCTTTGGGTTTAGACTTTTGATAAGATATTCGTCAAATCTCGGCAAAATAACCTAACAAAAAGATGTAGGTATATTTTCCATTGCCGATTTGAACCGTTCTAAAACAAACTCTATAAATATAATGCGTGACCCATTAATGCTAAGTCACTATCCCAATAGATATTATGGTGTGTGTATGATGGATGAAAAAACCAGGAGTCCAGCACAAGTCGACAACTGCAAGTAGCCCTTTGATTTGTTTATTTCAGTTAATCTTGTGATACGCCAAATACTTTGACTTAAATATAATTAACATTTATAAGAATTCTCACAGATTTGATCTAATTGAACGAACTGAAAATTAGATAATACCTTGGTATACGTTTCCTTTTTCGAAAGCAAATCTTAAATTCAGATGATATTATTATTAAATTATTAGTATAATCACATGGTTCTATAGTTATATTATTTTATTATTTGGTTTTTTTTTTTTAATATGGATCCACAATGGTACCAATAGAACGCTTGATCCAAGACATATATACAACGATAATATGTACTCTACTATATAGCAATTTTTGAATTAGAGAATTGCTAGTTATAAAGCATTTATGTAAATATATCAAACATAAATAACCATAACAAATAAATCAATTACGTGATAATGAAAAAATCGAGTATTCTTCATTACTTGTATCAGCGAACGTGCTTCCTTAGCCTTCTGAGAAAGCATTATCTAGTTTCATAATATTCTACAATTCCGGTATCAAGAATTAATGGACAAATTGTGATATGTAAGTAAATAGTAAACTATTTACATTTGGAAGCAGATGTACCATACATATACAACCATATGAACGTCAATATGCAAATTCAGCAACTTTAATTTGTTCGGAAAAAAGTTTTATTTTGTTAAAGTTTCCACTTGTCTTCGAAAATTTACGATCTTGTTCTTGCGAAAACAGGGGTCCAAGTTACTTTTGTCATAAATCATATTAAAAGTTGGCTGAAAATTCAGCACAGCGCAGCGTGCCAGCCAGTCCATTAATGGCGATTCAATAAATATCGAAACTCAAATCTAATAAAGATAAATACGGGCGAGTAAATTAATGGAAATTTAGCTTGTTTCTACTAAACAGACTTTTGTAAGTGCGAATATGTGGCACCGATCTTGTGAAAAGCTAAATAGCTTTGTTTGCTTTTATAAAATATTCAGTTTGCAGGAGAATGATTGCCACACTTTGAAGTCTTATAGACGCACATATATACAGACACGCATACAAGTACATATTGCTTGTGGAAAGGATAAATATAACAAATACTACCTATATACCTATACGTATGTAGGTAAGTATTCGCGTGCACTTGAAATACTTTTTTGTTGTTGTTGTTTTTTTTTAATACCAGAAATTGCCTCCAAATAAACTGCGTTAAATTAATTTTCACCTGATTTTCACCAACTTTTAGTTAGACACATGACTTATCTGTGAATATTGTAGCAGTAGAACTAATTAATAAAGCTGCGAACTATTTATGTTTATAATTTCGAAATCGAACAGAATTTTTGAAATATGGGCACTGTTACTGCTTTTGTTGAACACTATTCTATGCCCAATTTTGTACTATTTTTAGCACATAAAGTGGACGGGATCTACCCATGAAAAAGTTGCACAAGTTAATCAAATCACATGACCGAGGTGGTTAAGCCAATTCAGTGAAGAAACGTTTATGACAATATAACGTTTTATGTTAGTCAATACACATTTTTTAGACGTCATTTCAGATAAATACTCATTAGTCTACTTTAGATATTATATAAAAGGACGCTGACTCAGGACTACAGGGTAAGAAATAAGCAAAATGTTCGGTTCAATTGATGCCTTTATGGGAAAACATTAAATTAAGAAATATAAATTTGTATACTCGTATGTTCCTAAAGTTTAAAATTTTTAATGAAATTATTTAATATCAAATATGTTTTTACTTATTTGTTTAATTTGTAGATTTTGAGTCAAACCACGTCAAGTGGACTGTGGAAAATTTCGCTAAATCACCGTTTTTTAAAATTAGCACTTCATTAGATGAGGGACCAGAAGCACACCCCATGGTATAAATTTTTATGTTGATGGTATTGAATGTTGAATTTTAGGGCACAACAAAATTGTAAAGTTATTTTCTCACAAACTACCGTAGCTAAATCGATGAAACTTTGTGAACTCAAAGAAAAATGTTCGTACTATATTATAGATATTTTTTCACGGTCAATTCGTTTATATGATAATATTTTACATAAATTGTTGTTAAACAATTGAAATATCTCTTAAATCATCTGCAAAGAATAGTTTGTTCATTTATGCCACTCTGCAGACATTGAATTTTTAATTTTCATCATATGAAACAGGGATAAAGGGATGGCCAAATCATTCTAGTGTCAGAGCATCTCAAAATTAACGTTTTTTTATAATATTTTGCGCATTATACTCAGATTAGACAAAATACTAACATTATTACGATAAAAAAGTATGATTAATTAAACGTTTGATATATGGAGTATATAGTTACTCCATGTAGATTATTTTTATCTTTTTTATTATTTTTTTATCATTTTTATTGAAAATTAATATCCGATATCAAATACATTTAAATTTCGCGTATTTTTTAGTTTTCATTGTTTTACATATTTTATAAGTGATCTTGAATGTCGGTTCAATGTGGCCGTTTCAATTGCAAAACGCCAAACCTACCCGATCCAGTCAACTAATAAAGTTGTACAGATGATTCATGCTCTCAATTTTAAATGTCAGGACAGTTGGTCATCTCTTTAGCTTTGATACGAAATATTCCGTTTTATTGACTATATATAGAGTGAAAAGGGAACTGATATGTCTCTTACAGTCATTTTTCCCCACATAACCTGGTATTTATATTTAAAATAACACTAAACCCTATGTTAAATAAAATCCTGGAGAGAGATGGATTTATAATTTTAGCCTCTGCTACACCGACTAAGCACTAGTACTCACCTCCCGTTTGTCGTCTTCAGGCGCATTAGCACCCAGCAAACTTGTTTCGATCGACGGAATATACCCAAACGAGTGTATGGCTGGAATGCGTTTGAGCACAATAGGTTTGTGTAGAGTGTTTCCACCACTCTCAGTAGCAGTTTGTGTAGTCGAAGACAAAGATGTAGCAGAACGTGAAAACTCGTTATCCAAATGAAAGATGGTTGTCTGATCACTACAATTCGATTGCAAATCGTCGACAAGAGATTTTTGCTCGGACACGCGCGACGATTCAATGGTCTCACTACTAAGCCATAATGGACTTTGTATACCATTCGACTGTGGAACACTTGGCAGAGATTGCGAATTCTTTTGATTCAAGCCACCAGAAGATCTCGGCGACTTTAATGAGATCGGTGATGTAGGCGAAGTCTGAGAAGCCGCTGCGGTCAATGAAGCAAGTTGCTTAATAGAACACCGACACGGCAAATTACTATCTGACTCGGCAAAATTCGATTTCAGCGAGAAGTCACTAAAGAAGCGCTTTGATTTACCCTCAGTTATATTGCTGTTATTGTTATTTTCTTGGTTCTCTTTATGAATCAACACAAAATTTTGAGTATCACTTAAAGATTTATAGATCTGTTGTTGTGGTGGTATTGTCTTTGTAAAATTCAAATGCAATTCTTTGTCGAACGCATGGCAAGTGCAGACATTTCGCACAGACGTCGATTGCGATACATCTGTCGTATTTGCTTCTATTGCCGCCGAAATTTGTTCGGCATTGTTAACAGCTGGCACACGGTTTTGCACAACTTCTTCTATAATATCCCGCTCTTCTTGCTGGGGGTTCTCACTTTCAACAACTATGGATTCAATTTCTGACTCCAATTCTTCACATTCGGCTACACAGTCTTCGAATTTGTCACTTAAATAATTGAGTTTACGACAAAAAGTCGGTGTTAGCTTAGTATTTGTGGTCGACAAAGATGAGGGCAAGTCATATTTAGACGTGGTGGAGGCATTTTGATATGCACGATGAAGACGCGTCTCACTAGCCGCTTTGATACCATTGGCTAGTGACCCAGTTATGGTGGGAAGGCGCGAAACACGTTCCAACTTTAAACGGCCATAACTATCGTAGCGCAGCGTATGTTTCGGTAACGGCGAAGTTAAGTAGGCTACTGATGACTGCGAACTTTGGCACGACGACTCCGAACTTGCGGCAGAAGGATATGCAGATGATGCGGGCACCGAACGCGTATATTCCGCGTGACTCCTTGCTCTACAGTTGTAGTTGTTATTGCACTCCCCACAGGCGCTGCTGCCAGCACTGAACACGGTGTGCGTGTCAAATGTGTCAGCCGCGTCGAACACACCATCAGTTACAGTGGCGACAGTATTAAGACTTGTCGACGCTGATTTTTTCCCGTTGGCTGCACTCGGTTGAGTTTGCTCGGAGTCTCCACAATTACGCCGTTTATTATTAATATTATTATGGTGATGTGGCGGTTGTGTTGGTGGTTGGACGGGTGTTTGCTTTTGTTGGTGACGTGGTAGCTGTGCCTGTGCTTGCGCCTGTTGCTCGTGATTATTTTTGGTTTTGATGGCACACTTTTCATTGGCAATCGACGTTGCCACCGACACCGAACAGCTGCTTTCGCTTAAGCTACGAGCGACAAATTTCGTTTCCTTTTCGTCGTATTTGTCTTTTTCGTTTCTTTTTAAACAGCCTTCACCGTGGCGGCTATTTTCTTTGCTTCGCCGTGCGTCATCTGCTTGTCGCTCGTCGTGCTTATTTATTTTTGTTATGGTGTTGGCGGAATCGCTTCGAGTATTTTTAACCGTTCCAAAGCAACTCAAAAGCTCGCAGTGCTCTGGCGAAATGGAGCGTTCAAGAGAGCGTAACGATTGTGACCAACGTGCCCCGGTTCGGTTCGAAATCTCGTCAAGCGTATGATTTCCAGCGTTTTTGGGACAAAAAGAGGCGCTTGGATGCTCAAACTTTTTTACCTTACATTGGATATTTTGACCATTGCTGCAAATCTGTTCGCCGTTATGGTAACGCGTCTCCAACAAGCTCTGTTGATCTTGTACTGACGCACTTGAACTCGAATAAATTGCTGTCTGATAGATGGTTCTTGCTTCGTGCTTTGGTTTGGGAGGTGGCTCTGGCGGCGGTGGCTTATATTTTTGTGACGACTGTAGCGTTTGCTTCAAGTGACTGGCAGCGCTTTCCACATTACCATAATCGCTGGGTAAGGACGTGGATAGAAGCACCTCTTGGCATAGGTATTCACCTGAGTCACGCGCTTCCGGCGGTAAGATATAGGCGCTCCTAGCAGTGTCAGTGGTACGAATTGGCACAGGAGCTGGTGCGGTTATCTGCCCCGACGTGGGTGTTACTAAAAATGTATTGGTTTCATTTGGTATGTATTCCGAAACAGTTGCGTTATAATGTACGCTGACGGATTTGTCAATTGTATAACAACAAATGGCGGGGGAAACACGACGCGTCGCTGTTGTTTTTGTTGTTTGTGTTGCGACGGGTGACAACAATGTTGGCAACAGACTACTCGTTCGCGCTGACGATGATGGCGACAACGGCGGCGACGTTGGCGGGGACGTACACGAACACGAATGCGAGTGCGTTTGCTTGCGCGACGGTGTGGGGGATAAGACGCGACAATTTTTGGTTAATATTTTGTCTTGTGCTAGATTATTGTTATTATTATTGCTGTTGTTTCTTTTGATATTGTAAAGTTTAGTTTTATTGTTGGAATTTTCCTCTGTGGCAGCAGTTTGGTTAGCGGCGTTGCACGCGCTTACTTCATCCTCATCGGAAACGAATCGGTACGACGACAGATCGGAGACTGAATCGGTGTTCTCGCGATAACATCGCGCGTAGTCCTCACCACTGAAATTCCGCTTGCGCTCGGCGTATGCGCCTTGAGAATAATCACCGCTAGCCATGCTAGCTCTTTCTGCACAGCAATGCTCACAAAAGGCCAGCGTGTTTTTGGCAACAACTGTCGAGTGGGTCGAGCTGGCCGAGTTGGCGGATTGAGTCGTTTGTGGTGCCGACGTTGGACTAACTGAGCATTGCGGTGTCGACAGTGGCATGTGAGTTGGCAATCGCGATAATAATAAGGGCGCGTGGCCATTATTTTGATTATTCTGATCGTTCGGCTGGCTGCTGGCGTATTGATCGATCAGTGGTTGTGTTGCCAATTCGCTTGTTGTCAATGCGGTAGGCGTCAAAGTGGGAAGTTGTTCAATTGATGCGCTCTCATTCAGATTTTCGTTCTTAGTATTGTTGTTGTCAGTGTTCGTATATATAAAGTCGTTTTGCTTTGTGTGCGCTGCTTCTAGTACATGCCGCACTTTATTGGTGTCATCACCATGGACTGCCAATGCCGGCAGTACATTGCCGATGATCATTTGCTGTTTTTGCAGCGGCAGCGACTGCTGCTGTTGCTCTCGTGCTAGTTGGTGCGTTTGATCGTACTGTTGCCCCAACAGCGTGTAGCCCCTTTCGCTTGTCGTATTTTGCAATTTTCTTGTTGCAATATGCAGCTGCGGCAGGCTGTTTACATACGACTGTCCCAGCGACTGCGGCAGCTGTCTTACATTATCGACATCAGCGGACTCCAGCGATAGCTTCTGGTATTGCACCGGCTTCGGTCGTCGCAACTGACTCAAGTTCGGCGTTGTTGGCAGCGATGTCGAGGCCTTTTTGTTCACACGCCCGCTCTTCTGTTGCACATCTCGTGGGCCTGCTAGAAGCGTGTACTCGCCGCAGCTTGCATATCGGCCGCGAAATATTGCCAATTGTGATGTTGTCACTGCTGTTGCTGTTGTTGTTACGGATTGCGCTGGTGTTTCTGTGGTTGTCCTAGCTGCAATTGTTGAAAAATAAAAACCAAAACAGAAAAAGATGAGACACTTAATTTAAAAATAAATCGCTGAGGCTAACAATAAAACACAAAAGTCATATATTAATATTAAAGTTTTCACATGTGTATATGCTTGTATGTATACTTATATAGTATATATATATATATGTATATAGATGTGTATATGTATGTGCTGCACCTATTTTTATATAGTAGTTTATTTTGTATGTTGAGCGTACTTCCAGCTCTTGCAGATGGGTGTTTCGGAGGGGGTCGCGAATGGAATATGAAATCTGTGCCAACTTAATATACTCGGTATTTAGTGGCATGAGTGTGCATGTGCGTGCGTAGTTGTAAATATTTCTGATCATTATTAATTCCTGTATTTGCTGTCTAGAGAATTATTCTAGTTGTTACGAATAATGTTTTATCTGATATTTCTTGGTCATGTCAAATTTTTCGTCAAAACAAAAAGTTTTCTATACAAGCACTTCATTCCGATCGTTCAGCTTATATGGCAGCTATAAGCTATAGCGGTCCGATATAGGCGGTTCCAACATATAAGCAGTTTCTTGAGAAAAATGTCGATAGAATATCCGAATTACAAATTTTCGACTTGTTCCTAAATTCTTCTGTACTTTTGACTTCTAATGTAATTCGTTTGCTTTAAATGAATTAAGAATTCCATCAGAATTCAACTATTATTTGAAGATTTAATATAGATTTACCAAGCTCTTTCTTCGAATGCTAAATTTTTAAAAATATATATATAAATGATCAGCGTCACGAGCTGAACCGATTTAGCCATGACCGTCTGTCTGCGCATAGGAACACTATATGATATAGCTACAAACTGATCGGGCGAAATCAGAAACCGTATATAGAAAGCATTTTTAGTTGACAAAAGATATCTTCACAAAATTTAGCACAGATTATTGTCCAGTGATGCGCTACGAATTTCGAACCTATTATTCAAATTAGGGCACTATGGCTTATAGTTGTCATACAAACTAACTGATCCAAATAAGGTTCTTGTATGGAAAACTTTTTTAGTTCGCAAGATATCTTAACAAAGTTTGCCATAGATTAATGTCTAAAGCATTCTCCGAAGCATATAGCTGCCATACGAACTGACCGAATTAAATTAAGATACAGATCTTTATATACTCTTTTACGCTATGCACAGGGTATTACAGCTTCGGAAATGCTCATTAGCATACGAATTCAAAAAACTCATCAAAAACTCCATAAAATTTTGTTACATATAGTCGAAGCAGCGTTTCATTCAAATTAAGAGGTATCACGTAGGTATCTAACTACCCTCGTGTCAATGTTAACCATTAATTATAATATGCTCTTTGAATAAATCATTTTGCGAGAATTCTTTGGAATTAATTTTCATATTTTCAAATTTCGTTTCAACTTTCTAAATTTTTCTAGTTTCAAATTTTATATTTATTTCAACAGCACCTCTTAAGTACTATTGTATATAGTGGCATAATAAGTTAAAGGAGACACATACCGTTTTCGTTTAAACCAGAAGCATGTGAACTTTGCCGAATTATCTGTTTTCGCTTGGTTTTCCAACACGATTTCGAGTTAACCGCGTGACTCGGACAACAGCAGCCCTTACTCGTTTCGACCGCAGAGTCACTACTACTCAGTGAAGGACAGCGGCTCTTAGAAGCCTCGCAGTGCTTGTCATTCGGCGCGTTGATTAAGTTTTCGCTGTTATAAGAAGTGGTGTATCTCAATTTTTTCGATTCGTTGCATTTAAATCTAGAAGTAAGTAAAAGGAAGATATTAATTTTCATGAATAAAAACGCGGAAAAAAGCGTTTTCAAAAATTCTGCTCATATTATATGGAAGGTTTGTACACTCGTGGCGACTGCTTGTATGTGCGCCTAAAGGTATGCAAATATTTTGTTTTTCAAGCGTTTTACAGGGTAAGTGCGCGCGTGTTGGATCAGTGCGTTGGACCCTAGTATACTTAGCAGGCAGATAACTCATACACTTGAATTCACATTAGCTGCGCCCAAAGCACATATGTATGTATATTGACTGGGTATTTATGCTTAGGTGGAATGTATGTATGTATTTTAGTGTTTATAATTAAAAGTACGGAAAGTTGTGGGTGGGTCAACACAAACATGCAGGAGATACAAGAAGAAAGGCAAAGCAAACAACAACAACAATATATAAGTGTGAATGTCTTCACCTGCTCCAAGCAATTCGTTGTTTACTATCGCACACACTTTGGGCACTCTCCCTCCAGCTCGCTTCATTTGAATTCCGCGTTCGGCGTTCTGTGGCAGAAGTACGGTAAGTTTCTGGCATTTTATTTATTCCTCCGATATTAACTGAAATTTTGTTTAAGTATAAAAAAGGAATTTATAATGAGTATGTAGACAAGTATGCTTGTACGAGTATGCAAATAAACAAATCGAAGGGGCAATTGGGAGCTGACGGGTTTTAGGCGTAAAGCAGAATCCCCAATTGCGAAACGTCCTAAAAATAGAGCTAGCTGATAATGACAAGCAATTCACATATCTACGCATATATATTTTTTTTGTAATTACTGAGATGCGTACACACGTACAAAGACACACATACGCATAAAAGCCAACACGTCTAGAACTTCTTCAAGCAAACAACGCGAGGCATCACTTAACCCACATTCGCATGTCAGCGTGAAATACGCACACGCACACGCCTCGTACTCGCGCCGCAACGTACTCGTACAGCAGCAAGTGTCCGCGCCGCGCTGGGGCACATTGTTCATTTGCAAGTTGTTACGGTTATTTTTAGTTTTAAACAAATGAACGCATTTTAAAGTGTTGACACGCATTGCACACCATGATAAATGACTCAGAATTGTGTTTACATGTATGTAAATATGTATGCATGTGTGTTGCATATCTTCGCAATGCTCAAATCAGCTTTACTGCACAACACTTTAAAGCAGATTTCATTTTTAGCTGAAATCACAAAAATTGTGCACACCGCTCGGTAAGCTATTTATGAATTATATCATGAAATGAATGAATTTTCGGAAGTACTTGTATTTCCATATATATTTAATGATTAAATTAACTCTATGAAAATAGCGTAAACTCATAGCTTTTAAAAAACGTCGATGGAAAGTAAATAATTAGGCTGTAAATGAAGTACACATACATGCATACATGTGTATGTAAACATCAATAATCATAAGATTTATATCCTGATCAGGGTATATTAAGTTAGCTATGAAGTTTGTAACACCCAGAAGGACACGACGGCGATCCTATAAGGTATATTTACGTATAAATGATCAGCATAACGAGCTAACTCGACTTAGCTAGTCTATACCTGATATTTACATAATAATTAATATTTTAACTAAACACCAGAGTCGGGTTTGATATGCGGAATCAGACAACAACCGAAATTTGGACTATACCAGATATTTTTAGTTAGTTTTTTTAGATCCCAGAAACCATACATGAGCAGCTCAGATCATTTGCCTAATATTTTACCGAAATTGCCGGCGAATTATTATAGCTAAATAATTGCCTTCTTCTGAGTTATAGATATAATTTCGTGGTATTTATGATTTGAACAAAATGGCCACCACGGCTCCCTTTTGCATATCTCCAACCGATAACGCCAATTTTCGTTGACCCGGTACAGCATATCGGCTGGAATTTCGGCTATAGTGCGCTGACAGTGAAACATTCTTCATCTGTGAAAACGATACTTTCATGGCCGTTACCCGCGTACCACTGAAGAAGCCACCTCTGCTGAGTTTAATATGCTTCAAGCGCGTCGGTCAACTGACACCGAAGGTGGACTTTCATGAGGAGAACATTTAGAAAAATACTTGACATTAATCTGGTCGATGTACTTCTCTTTCTGTCGTCAACTGTAGATGTTTGGGAAAAACGATCAATAGTGTGGTAAACAAACATTTTTGAAATATTAAGTTTTTAGAGAAGCTCATAATTTTTGCTTGTGTTTTTACACCCTTATGTACCTCCCCATTCCATTGTTAATAAACACTGAAGTTATTATTACGCATATGTATCTGAGTAGACACTGCATATAAATTATAACATAAAATATCGGCAGTATTTTCTACGAATTTATCCTCGTGTATGCAATGTAAACTTTATAACAGAATTTATAGCAAAACTAAATTAATATAATAATTTTCATTATTACATTTACTATTTCCTAATCCAGCATGGAGGTCATTTACGGTCTATAATATTTAATAATTGATTATATAAAATAAAATAAAATTTTCTATATAATATTAAAAATTAAATGTAAATGCATTGATAAAAAAAATTTTTACGGTTTGCTTTTGCAGCAGGATTCGTGCGCCACCCTATATAACATTTATCAATAACATTATCAACCCCAACTTAAATTTGTTAATTCAGAATCTTTATATTATTCAATATAGAATCCCTCCGTTTGTCCTCTTTAGCCTAAAAATTCACGTCTGTTTGTGTAAGAAATTTTCATTTTCAATAAAACCCAAAGAAATATAATTCTAAATAATAAAGTTAGCACGTCACTAATTGATCGGAAACTTTGTTCTGAGTCGACCAAGGTCGCACGGTCTGTAGCAATATCATATATGCATGTGTGTCTATATGGCTTCTATTTTCAACTTGTGCATAGTTCATTTACACCTTTTCTAAAAAAATCACAGTTTGTATTAAATGTGCAACGTAGAAAATGCTACGCGAGCTACGTGCCCTGCAACAAAACCGAAGGTGGATAGCCAACACTAGTGACACTGATGTTCTTCCGGTATTTTCCGATAAGCCCGATGAGCAATTAAATTTAAGGCGTCACACAGTCATGGTGGAAAATGTATGAGCATGAACGTATAGATTTTCCCACAACGCATAAATATCCGTTTCATTTTGTTAACATTAATTACTTAATTCCTCCAATTCATTTTAGACTTTATTTCTTTTCGGTGGAAAAGACCCAAAGTGTTTGCCGACAGCGAAGAGATAATTTTAGTGTGGCCAAGATGGATGTACGAGTTCTCGAAGGTACATGACCTATAAATAGTACATTTGTATTTACGAAGATACAAATATACACACACAGACACGAACACATTTAATTGAATGGACTAGGAACGATTCTATAATTTTCTTTGAAAAGATTCTTTTTGTTGAACTGCTTTTAAAATTATGGTAAATAAAGAAAGTGAAGGCCTAAGTATATTTTGGGGCGTAATGTATTACCGGTCTATTCCGGGAAGTCATCGAACACATGCTTCTTTGAAAATGCATACACTCACTGTTCCATAACCTCGTCCAATATTGTGTACAAAATATGCAGTTGTTTTGTGGAAATGGTAAATAAACAAACCGAAATGACGACGATGACAGCCGATGGTGCAGACGGCATAAAACAGATGCGAACAGAGCAAATAAAAACGCGAACAATGTTGTGTGGGTGGGTTATCTCAATCACTAAACGTCTAATGCAAAGTAAATCCCAGAAGAAAGAAAATATAACCTTAAATATTCTCCACAATGCACACAAATATTTATAAACGCAAATAAAGGATTCTTGGAATAGGTTGTTCAAATATTTATGTGTGTATGTATACAGGGGTCGACGATGAATATTCGATTTTTCAAGGTTTATAATTTCCTTCTTAAAAAGAGTGGTAATTTATTTTCTATATCATGTCTCTGGCGTATTTATTTACATTGTAGCGATGCCTGATATAATATTATTAGCCAAACTTCGTGACGATACCTTGTCAAATAAAAAAATGTTTCATAAAAGGACTTGATATACGAGTATACTATAGTTGTTCGATATCAGCGGTTCTGACAAATGAGCAGCTTCTTGGTGAGAAAAGGTTCAAAATTTCAGGTCGACATCTCAATAACTAAAGGATAGGGTCTCCGACGTTTCCTTTGACGTGTTGAAAACATCGTGACAAACTTAATACGTGCATATAAGGCTCTTGAAATTATTCGAAGAACCTGAAAACCGATTATTTGAATATTCGGTTTGTAACCGTTCGTATAAATATTAACCGATTGTTGTCGTTCTACTGCGACTAATCGAATACAAGTAGTTGCTCTGCTGCAAGTATTTTCAAGCATCCTTTAATTTGTGCACAAAATATTATTATTTATTATTGAATGTTTCACTTTTTTCAGTAAAAATAAGAAAATGAATGAACGGTTAACCGGATAGTCGAAATGAGCGGATAACCGAATAGTCGACGACTTACGACTATCCGGCGCTTTATAAAGCAGTTTGCTTCTCCATTAAATAAAAAAGTAATGACACAAAAGGAATTTGCACTCTCTTTTTTGTGATAAAGCGTTGGAAAAATGCTCTTGTTGTGTGATTAATCACCTTTAAGTTACACATCTGTCCGTTGCATCATTGATATCTTACTTTTCGCTTTGCATTCTGCCACCGAAAGTTTTGCCGACTTCCCAACGAACTGCTTTATTAAAGTGACTTTCGTTTTGTGTTTAACAATATTGTGCCATGGAGCCACGACGCTCGTGAATGAATCGCAATTTAATTATTAATTACTTCACATTCATTTTGACTTAATGAGCGATTTAATAATTTGCATTTTTTGGTGAAATGAAAATGAGGAAATCACCGCGAAATTCATGCGACCCCATTGCGCATCGTCACGCGGACGCCCTCTTTCATGCCTTTAGTGTTCGACTAAATCTAATATTTTCAATTTATCATTGTTATCTGCTCAGACTGCCGTTACCGTTACCGCT